CATGTGTGTTTCATTTCCCATCAAAGTATTGCTATTCTCTGAGCCCAGTTTCCCATGAAATGCTGCTTCATCTTAATGGCGTTCTCAGGAACACTAGGCTATGTTCATACCACACACTGAAAACAATATCATACCACCATCATTCCCTTCACAGAGCTACAGTTCCCATAGTTCCCTGGGAAGAGGGATAGATTGCTAAACCACTTTGGGAACTGGAGCTCCGGGGGGAGGAATATGAGTCTCGTAGCAACTCTCAGTGCCCTGAGCAAACTCCAGCTCCCAGAATTTTTGTGGGAAGCTGTGACTGTTTATAAAGTGGTGGTATAGTGCTTTAAAGGTATGGTGTGAATGTGGCCTTGGGCCACAGTTGTTGGCCAACTAGTACAGGGACAAAACTGACTAAGGTGGCTTCCCCCACCCCCTGCAACAGAAAGAAAGAAAGAAAGAAAGAAAGAGGATGGCACAGATCTGCATTACATTTACACGTGCTAATTTATGTGTGCAGCCACCAATTAAGAAACAGAAATGTAAGCAGAAATACAATACACCTCATTAAAGTGGGAAGGATTGTGACCAGATGAACTGTGGGCCTGCTCATTGCAGGTGCTGCTAACAGGAGATGGGCAATTTTAACACCCACTCTTCCTTTTTTGGGAATGCGGGTAGCGCTGTGGTCTAAACCACTGAGCCTAGGGCTTGCCAATCAGAAGGTCGGTGGTTCGAATCCCTGTGATGGGGTGAGCTCCCACTGCTCGGTCCCTGCTCCTGCCAACCTAGCAGTTCGAAAGCATGTCAAAGTGCAAGTAGATAAATAGGTACCTCTCCAGTGGGAAGGTAAACGGCGTTTCCGTGCACTGCTCTGGTTTTGCCAGAAGCGGCTTAGTCATGCTGGCCACATGACCCGGGAGCTGTACGCTGGCTCCCGCGGCCAATAAAGCGAGATGAGCACCGTAACCCCAGAGGCGTTTGCAACTGGACTTAACTGTCAGGGGTCCTTTACCTTTACCTTTTACCTTCCTTTTTACATAAGAAGAACCTTCTAGATCATGCCAACTTGTCTAGCATTTTCTCACAGTGGCCAGCCAGATGCCTCTTTCGAAAAGCCAACAAGCAGGGCCTGAGTGCAAGAGCCCTCTCACCTCCTGTGATTTCCAACATCTGGTATGCAGAAGCATTACTGCCTTTGACCACGGAGGCAAAGCACAGCCATCATGGCTGGTAGCCATTGATAGCCTTTTCCTCCATGAATTCGTCCAATCTTCTTTTAGAGCCATCCAAGTTGTTTTGGCCATCCCTGCCTCCTGTGGCAGCGAGTTCCACAGCTTAACTATATGCGCTGCATGAAGAAGTCATGAACATTCAGCTTCGTTGGTTCCCCTTGAGCTCTTAAGTGTTACGAGAGAGAGAGAGATTTCATCCCTACTTCCCAGAGGTCCTCCCACAACCTGCCTGCCATACCAGCACCTGTCAGAACAGTACCCGCATTGCAAGTGAGAGGTCTTGTGGGCTGTGTCTGTCTGTGAGGGGACGGAAAGCCTTCAACTCCATTCTGGAATGTTTACGGGGAAGCCTTTTAAATTGGGGATTTATTAACTAGCGTGGCTTCAAGCGTTTCTGAGAGAGTTGGCGGCTGCTCTGGGGGACAGGTGGCAATTACGTCTTGCGCCGAAGGGAACTCTTTAATAATCGCCACGCTGCAGGAAGCTCTCGATCTGCTGAGGATGCTGGAAATAGGATCAGATAGTTGGTGTCTGCTTCCCCCAGGACCAAAGTTTTGGAATTCTTCTTGCCTATTAAGTGGCACGAATCCCAGATTTTGGGGTGGGGGAAGGAGGCTGGCCACCCTTTCTAGACAGACTAATAATCAGCTTCTGACACTGACTCTCTCTCTCTTTCTGCAGTGAAAAAGCTTAATACATAACCCAGGGTTCATACCTAGAACTGGGCTGCTGTACGTTATTTCTGCAGGGTCTCTGTACAAGATCAGAGCCTGGTATGTGCCTCATTTGTTTGGCTGTTTCTTGACTTTAGGAGGTGCTGGTGGTGGGGGCAAACGACTCTAGTCCTCGTGGTTTTGTGGAGCAAGATTTATTGGAAATGCTTTAGGCAGAGATTGGAGGGAGGTGGCCTGGGTTGGATGGAGCTGTGACTTGCTTGCTTAATTAATTTATGCCTGGCTCTCTGTACCAATCAGAGTAAAGAGTGCAAGTGGGCATACATTTCTCTCTCCTTTCTGTTGGGTTGGCACAATATCATGCCACCCTCTCTTCCCCTGCCTGCCAAAAATTTGACCATAAGCATCCTTTGTTTACTTGCTTATGTTACTCCCAAAAATGAGATGTCTCTATACAAAATGTGACAACCTGTTTGACAGTTGACCTATGGAACTCACTTCCACAGGAGGCAATGTTGGTCACCAACTCGAGAGGCTTTAAAACTGGATTGGATAAATTCATGGAGGAGAGGGCTATCAATGGCTACCACCCACGATGGTTATGCTCTGTCTCTGTATTTGGAGGACGAAATGCTTCTGAATACCATTTGCTGAAACCACAGTAAGCTCTTTGGCTTGCTGGTTTTCAAAGTCATCTGGTTGGCCACTGTGAGAACAGGGTCCTGAACTGGATGGCCATGGGCCTAATCCAGCAGGCTCTTTTTATGTTCTTATTCAGGGGTCGGCAAGGTTTATCTTGCCTGGGCCAGATCGGTCCCGCGGAGATCCCTCCATGGGCTGGATCGCATGTGTGTGTGTGAGCCCGCGATTTTTGGCGTCTGTGCCTGCACAGGCGTGATTTCCGGCGCAGTGGAAACGACTCCCTGAGCCTCACTGCGCCAGTTTAGTGCAGCACGTGAGCGGGTGGCTCGGTTCAGGGGCAGCTCGTGGGCCGGTCACACGACCTCCGCAGGCCGCTTCCAGCCTATGGACCTTAGGTTGCTGACCCCTGTTCTTATTGCATCGGCCAAAGGTTCTTGCAACTCCCGCTGGGGACAACAGCTTTCATGCAAAACAAAGAATGTACACAAAAACACATCTGTAATGTATGTTGCCACATGTAAGCCACTTTCTTTACGCAACGTGTCATGAGACCAGAATAAAATATTTGGTTGTCACCAGTGTTATTTCTACTCAGAGTAGATTCACTCAAATTATTGTATATTACTAGCTTAGAGCCGTTAATTTAAGTGGCTCTATTCTGAGTAGAAGTTAGTTGGATTCAGCCTACAGTAACACCAACAATAAACATAAATAAGTTGAGCAGCAAAAGAACAACCTGAAATGTAAATCACACACACAGAGCGAGGCAAAAAAAACAAACAAACTTCAAATCAGGAGGAACAAATCAACAGAGGTTATTTTATTTTTTGTTCTTTATTAAATTTATATCTTGCTCATCCTCCCAAAGGAGCCCAGGGCAGCAAGCAACAAGTAATAAAACATCTAAATATACCTTTAAAACACTTCTGCTGCAGACGCAGACTGGATTGGTAGAGGCTCTTTGGAACAAAATGGTGTTCAACACCTTTTGGAAAGGATAAGAGGGAAGGGAGCAGGAGGTGGGGAGCTTGTAGAGGACTCTCCAGAGTTGCTGGGCTACAACTCCCATCATCCCTCACTATTGGCCATGCTGTTTGGGGCAGATGGGCGTTGGGAGTCCAAGAACATCTAGAGGGCCCCACAGGCTCTCAACCCCTAGGCTAGATGCACGTCCCAAATGGAAGGTGCTCCAGTGTCTGGAACTCCAACCTATGCGGCCAGCCACAGGCACATTCTTCTTCTTTCTTTTTTTTTTTGCTCCTGCTGTGACCTGGATGTTCTTATTGGGCAGGCTGACTCTCTTGAGAGCAGGTATCCTTTCAAGTACCCCTGTCCCAAATGTATTCCACGAATAATTGCCTACTATCTCTAACATATATAATTTACTCTAGCCGGCAAAGAGACAACTCACAACTTTTGCTTATTTAACTTGCATGATTTCAAATTTACACGGTTGACGGCTGGCCGATTGAGATCGCACAAATTAAAAGATATAAATACGAATGAATGTCAATGACGCTGAAGGAAGTTCAAAATGTACGAGATATATTGAAATATGGATATACTGTTTAAAAAATGGAAATTAATAAAATTTTTGAAATACAAAAAAAAAAAAAAAAAAAAGAGATCGCACAAATTAAACACACGGCAGGCGGAGAGCTTAAAATCTCTTTTTTGTGCAGGATTTTCCTGGCGTAGAAAGAGGCCATGTGAGGTCTCATGAGAGCCCCAGTTAGCAAGGTAGAAAACTTAAAAGTTCTTTGCCTTGCTTACACTAAGATCTGTATGGTGTGCCAGCTCCAGTAGATAAGATTGCTTATGCAGGGGCTGCTCCAAGGGGGCGGCGTGCCTATATGTGGTTTTGCATATATGCCCCCAGAATGTAACCCCTGTGCAAGATGCAATTTGACTGTATAAGGAATTGTAGTTACTTCCCAAATCTTACAGAACCATTCTGGCAATTAATGGAGAAGCTTTCTTGTAGGAACTTCACTTTACACAACTCTGCCTCAGTGGTATTTGAAACACCATACAAATTAAAATGGATTTATAATCTGTCTCAGGATAATTGTTGGAGTTGTGGGAAGCTGTATGAGGACTATTTACTTTTATTTAGAGATGTGATGCGATCCAAGGCTTTTGGAGGCAAGAGAAATGGGTATGATATCCCAGATGAACCAATTAGAATATTATTGAATAATCTATAAATAGCATAGATATTGAGCTAGTTCCAAATTTATTAACAACACCAAAAGTATCAATTGCCACTTACGAGACTTAAACCCTGCAAAGTCTTCCTTGGCTCAGAACTTAATCTGCTGTATAAAGAATTCCCTTCTCTCCACCTTCCTTACTTTGAAGTTGTTGTGATAGCAGCCTTCAGCTGTGGGTATACAAGGGGTAAGGAGGAAGTGTGCATGCAGCACACATCTGGCTTATTTTGGGGTTCCTCTATTTCAAGAAAGGGGCTTCTGCTCAGTGGTAGAGCATTTGCTTTGCATGCAGAAGGCCCCAGGTTCAACCCCTGAAGACATCTCCATGTCCAGCTGGGCATGTCCCCTGCCTGAAACCTGGGAGAGTTGCCGCCAGTCAGTGTAGAGTAGACAATACTGAGGTAAATGGACCACGGTGGCCTGACTTGGTGTGAGGCAGTTTCTTATGCTCCTATTAACTGGGCCCTGGTGTCACGGTCCAGTTCACGGGCGATCAAAGTCCTGGCAGGGGACTTCAGGACTGGGGGCAAGATGGCTGGGTGGGAGCAGGAATGGGGGTCCAGAAGCCAGGAGTCAGGAAGCCAAGAGTCCGAGGGTCAGCGAGCTGGGAGTCAAGAAGCCAAGGGTCAGGAAGCAAGGAGTCAGGAAGTCAAGGTTCAAGGATCAGGAAGCAAGACGCCCAAGGCAGGAAGCGTGTTGCTGTGGCAAAGAGCCAAAGGGAAATCCCTTCCCAGCTCTTGCCACCAGGTGCTGTGAGTTACCAATCGGCCTCGCCTGTGAGGCCGCGCCTTGCCTCTTCAGAACAAACTTAGGAAGGCCCCAGTCCTGCAAAGTCCTATTGGTCACAGGGCCTGGCTGCTGTATGCACACCTGACACCTGGGGCATTTTTGGGGCAAAACCTAAGAACGTAAGAAGAGCCTGCTGGATTAGGCCAATGGCCCACTGTGGCCAATCAAATGCCTCTTCTGGGAAACCCACAAGCAGGACTCGAACTCGAGAGCCCTCTCCCCTCCTGCGATTTCCAGCATTGCTGCCTTCGAGTGTGGAGGCAGAGCACAGCCATCATGGCTAGTAGCCATCAATAGAGCTCTCCTCCATGAATTTGTTCCTTGCTGCTCTAGAGTCTTTTGAATCTTCTACCTTCTTTTGACATTTTGTTTATTTTGCTTTCCAGTCATCTCCCTGCCTCCGCTCTTAATTTCGGCAGCTGTTTTCTTTTCAGCTTTCACCTCCCCTGGCAGTGTCCTGTTTGTTTAAGCTGTTTGCCTGAGCCAGACTCATCTTGCACCGGCAGTCCCTTGCCTCAGGGTCCTCCATTGTTCAGGGCTTTGGAATGGGCGCAGGGGAAGGACCTGTGGCCCTCACATGGCTGCTCCAACCGCCCTTCTCTCATATCCTTGACAGTATTCATTTGTTTGTTGTTGTTGTTTTAATAACCATATTGCGTATCATGAATTGGGTTTTGAGTCGTGGCTTGCCCTTGGCCACACAAAATATTATTTATATAGGGGTTTTTTTTAATAGAAAAAGTATAATGCATTGATAAGCAAAGGAAGGCATAGTCAAATGCATAAACTAGATTTGTGGTTCCCGGGGTGGGTGATACTGCCCCCAGGGGGCTGTGGGATTACTCAGGGGGTGCTGCAAGCAAGGGGGTGGTAGAGGAGTGCTGGAGGTGAGCCACGTTGAGTGTATTGATCGCTTATTTACGATTGACCAGGCTGCAGCCTGGAGCGAAACGCCTTCCTCACTTTCAAAGCTATTTGCTTCGGTCACATTCGTTTGTATTTATCATTCTGAGGTGTCACAAGTCATGGGATTGCCAATTATTGGTAATGGCTATTGATCTACTTACAAATTAAGTACCGTACATTTGTGGTAGGTGAAGGTTTTGGGCATGTTTGGTAAGTAGTTACAAATTTCGTTCACCCTTAAGTTTTCATGAGTAAGAATTTGTAAAAGTATTTTTCATGCACTGTTTGGTGTCACTGGATCGAGGTTATGAATTTTGTCAGATTGAACTAAATAGTTTTAATTGGAGTTTGAATAAATGTGCAATTAATTGCCACTGCTTTGAATTTTATTGTGTTATTGTCTTCCTTAGTGGGTTGTGCGAACCGCTATTGTGAATAATGAGTTTTGTAGGATAGGGTTCAGGAGCACTGGGAATGAGTTTATGGAAACAAGAGGGCAGGAGCCCAAAAAAAGTTTGGGAAGCTGTGATCTAGATTAAAAAAGTACCTTTCTAATTTTCCATTTCTATATTTCTCATGTTGATAATCCACAAAGCAATTCCATCTCTCCACATGCATTCATCGCTGCCAACACTTTTCATGAGCCATTCCGAAACAGATGGCAGATTCCGGTCCTTCCATTTTCTTGCCCACACAATTTTTTGCACCCATCAAAAAGATAAAAGCATGGACTGAATGTTTTGAATGATCCCTTTTCTTTTTTTTTATGTTACCGGTAGAAGGAAAATCAAAAGTTTTCTTTTTGTATCTTGATCTCCAGTGTTTCTTTTTCCTATCCGTCTCTTTTTATTGTCCCTTTCTGTCTTTTTTTCTGATTCTCTTCTTTGTTTCTTTTCTTTTCTTATTTCTTTGGAGTCCTATGTCTGCGACCTTTATCCAGGTCCAGAGATTGTATACCCGTGGGAGTGGTAGATGGTTAATGGAGGGCCCTGGGTGAGAGACAGGGAAATGTCAGTCTCCCAGGTGAGAGCTGGGAGGAGCTACTGTCCTCTGTGGGTGGTAAGGGCTAAGAATTACTTTTAAGAGAGGACTCAAAATTCTACTTCTTCGATTTGTATTTTTTGCAGTTATAATTTTACTGCATTATGGATTTTTTTTTTTAAAAAAAATTCTTTTCAAAAAGATAAGAACCAAAGACCTGTTATAAGAAAAACTGCACCCTTCCCTTTATGGGGTACCCAACAGCCCGAATCGAGTCCTTATGTAGGTTCACTATCGGTAGGAGAAAATAACAGAGGCCAACCAGAGAATATTGAGAAGCAAAGCAGCTAGTAAGCTTTATCTTTATTAAACTGTTGCAACAGGGTGCCCCACGCAGGAGGGAGGAGGAACCCAGAACATTGGTGTGCAAGCTCTTATATAGATTTTTGAAATTGCTACCCTGTAGCTCAGGGCCACCCCCCAATACATCATATATACATCACTGAAGGGGTGGTCTACAGCAGAAAACCTGCCTGCCAGGATACCTTATAATGGTCACTGATTGCTTTTACCTGGGCATCCTGGCCATTCTTTTGTGATGGTAAATACTCAGTTCCTGAATTCAGGCCACAGGCTCACCCTAGTCATACACAGATAGGCCCCTGAGACAGGATTTGTGAGCAAAGAGACTATGGGAAGGTTTTCCCATTTCCTTCCTCCTTGCAGAGAAACATTTGAGGTCAGTTTGGGAGAGTCAAAATGGTTTCAGGACTGTTTTCCTGTACTGTTTCAGACGTAGTTTATATATTTATGTATATGTTTGCCTGGTACATTTATGAGAATTTATTTTATATCCTAGTCCTTATATTTCTCATAGCAGACCTTAACATTATTCTCCACCACATTTCCAGTGACATTAAACAGGACCAGCAAAACAAAACTCCCCCTGGGGTGTTTGCTGGGGGTGCTTCTGGGTCCAACTCAGTGGCTAGAAGCACCTTTTACCAGCTGCGACTGGTGCAGCAGCTGCAACCATTCCTGGATCGGGAAAGTTTGGCCACAGTAGTTCATGCATTGGTTACTTCAAGATTGGATTACTGCAACACGCCCTGTGTGGGGCTTCCCTTGTGCTTGATCTGGAAACTCTATTTAGTGCAGAATGCTGCAGCATGTTTGCTGACGGGAGCAAGACCCTGACAGCTTTTAACACTCTGCTCAGAGATCAGCTGTGGTTGCCCATTTGCTATTGGGCCAAGTTTAAGGTGTTACCTTTAGTATATAAAGCCCTGGAGAACTTGAGACCAGTGCAAAGCAAAATCACCTTACCCCATATATGCCCACTCGGCAGCTTAGATATGCAGAACTGGCACTGTTACAGGTACAGATTTTGTAAGAAATCTGTCTTTCCAAGTGGCAGCATCCACACTTTGGAACTCCCTGCCTTTTGACATTAGTACACTTTTTGCTGTACTCTTTTCAGCTCTTGATAAAAGCATTTTTGTTTAGACAAGCCTGCTCAGATATGTAGACTCTTGACTTGCGTATCTATCCTTTTTTTATTTATTTCTGATTTTAAATCCTTTTAAACTGATTTTATTGTTTTCTTCTTTTGAAAACTTATTTGTGGTATTTCACAATCAACCAGCTTACAAATTGTCTGGAATAATAATATTAATGAAACATTTATTGAACCACTTGTGAGTCACAATGAAATTCCTCTGGTTGTTCTTTTGCCTCCCCTGCTCCTCCCCTGCGGAGAGAGATCAGCTGGACTTACTGAAAGCACAACCATCATCCCCCCCCAAAAAAATTCCCATGCCAGCCCCAAAATGACCCCCTGCGGTGTAAGAATTCACGAGAGCAAAGCAGCTTTGTGCGGATTAATGACCTTAAATAAATAAATAAATGTGAGTCTTTAGCCACTCTAATAATTGATTTGAAATGATCATAGCCTGCCTTTTCTATTTAAAATATTTCAGGATGGCTGGCAATCAGTCGATTAATAGCAGTACTTGAAGTAACAAATCAGTAAGACAGTCTAAGCAGTAAAATTCCTAAAAATAAGACGGCAGCATCACTCAAATATATAACCCTTTAAAAGCTGCTACTTATTTGCAGCTGCCCAGTTATGTCTGGGGTGTGGGGAACTTGGGATCGGGGTGGGGGGCAGGGGGAAAACACCCCTCTCTCTGGCTCTCAGGACCCTTCCTGGGTGGCACTCCTTTCAAGCTCTTCTCTGCCCATATCCTCAAGTGTGTTTGCTTTGCCAAAAAGTGAACTTGAAGCTGTGTGCCAGGATGGAGAAGCGTATCTGTTTTGTGCAGAAGCCTCTTGGTTTTGTGTGGCTGGAACATTGCCTACTGTACAAGAGAAAAAGTTGCACCTGTTGCTCCTCCCATTTCCCATTTGGCCACACCCACTTTTGCACCTGGCCCTGCCCACACCTGACATGCAACCCCCTAGGAGATTCCCTGCAAGGGGGAATGCATTCTTTGGGCTGAAAAGAGGTTCTCTGCCCATGAGCATTGAAAGCAATTCACGTTATCCCAACAGTCCTTTTGACTGCCCTGTGTGGTAGGCCAGTGTTGCTTGTGAAAGGGCTACCCACCTCCCACCAGCCCTTGGCATGGTGGCTGGTGGGAGTGGCAGT